ACAGAAAACGAGGTAATTAGCAGATGCATTTTGTTGTTGGGGGGGAGGACAGCGATCGAATGAATAAGTCAAAAAGATCTGTGAAAAGAACACCTGACTCCACCTCATATACATTTGTGTTCACGTATGAAAACAAGTGCAAGTATACCACCGTCGCGTTGAATTTTTAAGTGAGGGTGTTGCAAGAATTGAAAGACTGGTTTCATCCGAATAGTTCAGCCTGTGTATATACCACAAAAGAAAACTACGGCCGTGATTAGGAGTGGCACAGTAACAGATAAGATGACAACCACTCAGCCTAGGCATATGTGAGTGTGGTCCATTTGGAAGGGGTTAGGGGAAACAAAATCAGAATGTACAATCTGTTGAACGAAACAAACCAGTCTCTCCGAGTGTGTGCAGTCCAGAAGGTTGAGGCGTGAATACGAAGAGATAACGGTATAATATAATGAACATGCTGTCACCACCATTTGATAATTGGGGAGCGAGGCAATTGGTACCATCTCGATCGAAGGGGTGGTGGTTTGCGCCTGCGGATGTGCGACGAGATGAATTGTGTCGTACTAAAAACGCGCGAAGAAGTCATACATCAGTGTATTTCACACTTGAACATGTTCATTCTAATCAACGCAGGTTTACGACTGTGTTGCATGTAGGTCTGTAAAAAGGAAGTATATATATATATGATGGAGACCAAGGTAGACAACTGTGGTATGGAGGATGACCATAGCTTGATGGAAGTGGTGGTAGAGAAGGAACGGTACTTGTGAGAGTCGAGTCAAGTAATGAATAAACCGTTGCCTAAATCGAACAAGATAATATGAGCGGTCGTGAAAGGTTCGAACGTTTTCAGGGTAAGGCGCTTAGCGGGAGAGAGCGAGTAATTCGTGCCAACCAGAAATGAGTGGAACGGAATTAGTTAGATCCATAAGCAAGGCATCGTTACACCTGTTTCGGGAGCGGACAGTTATAAACAGGATTGGTAAATTGCAGTGTTTGTGTTAGAAAAAGACAGAACGAGGAAGATAGACGGGGTACATATGAAGCAGGAAATGGAATGATTTTGAGTAGCTATCCTTATTGGAGTGGAACAATAATGAAAACCAGAAGGGCAGTAGTTCGGCGCCCTGCACGGAAGTGTTTCTGTAAGGGGAAACAAAGATGCATGACTGAAGAAAGAGCAGGGGCTTTGACAAGCCAACAGACAGACCGAAAGGAGCACTGAGAGAAATGTAGGAGGGAATAAGTAGAAGTGCAAAGAAAGACAGTTATATACACAGAACGAGTGTGATGACGAAATAGAGGTGGAGAATCACAAAAACAGAAATGAGAAACGCGGGACGAGGATTGGTCTGCGGCGTAAAACGCCAGAAGCTGAGTGAGGTATTAACGTGACGGTGAGCGAAGAGGGTCGGTAGTTATAGGATTATGAAATTGGAGCCATAGAAAAGAACGAACGAAGCTGTTTCTGCAACATAGGGAGCAAAGGCGTATGTGATTGAGTGGGAAGCTCGAAAACAATGTATTGAACGAAAAACGCCAAGAAAACACCTAGAAATGGGTTCGATGAGCACCATGTGCATCAGTCAATCTGTGTTTGGAGGTGCATCTCACCCAGGACCAGCATATAGAGTCATAAGGCAGCGAAGTAGCACATGTAACAGTAAACCCCATCATACAGTCAAGAGAAAATCAAGTTCTGCACGGGTGAGCACGCGAAACGACTCGGAGGACTAGGCATCGCGTCAACAGAGGATAGTTCCTCGATTAGACTGAACTATCAGACTGTATGCTCGACGTATTGTGTAGGGGGCGAAAGTGAGCACTTCGGTGACTTCTTCATTTCTGTACGTCCAATCCGGCCAGCTCTTGGGCGATAGGAAATTCCGGGCAAAATTTTCAATCAATATGCATTCAGATACACTCACACCCTCCCTTCCTCAAACACACACACGCATGCATCGAGGTCTATGAGTAGCTCTGTTACGAGCGAGCAGTGTATAGAGAGACAGCAGGATAAAAATGGTCCAATTTTCTTACTAGCAAGTGGTTCGTACATTGAAATCCAACCCTGCTGTTCAGGATGGCGAGTGGTAGTAAGTATGGGGTTATACAGGGGGGGGGGATAAAGTGGAGACGTGGGTCTCGGGACAGGGGCTAAGACAAGGTTTAGTGCGACAAAGTATGCACAGCCATCAGAGAGATAGGAGGGAGATGAATTACAAAGAATGTTCTATTGGCATGACAAATAACACTGACGAATAATGAATGGGAAGGGAAGAAAGAGAGAAACAGAGTGAGCCAACAAGCAACCGAGCAGTAGCCCTCCGCACAACGTGGACTGGGAAACCGTTCGGTTGAGCTGCGCACACACCTGAGCTCCCCATTGGGGTTAGACGAACTGGAAGAGCACGGAGCACGCGCGGGCGCGTCTATGTGCGTGTGCGTGTTAATCTGTCGGTGAAAGTTGCACCGCAAATCGACAGTGATCACCTTTGATCACGTCGTCCTCGTGTCTTGTAATTCCGCCGCGTTGGGAAGTCGAGTTCCGATGGAGTTAATGACCGCAGGTTCTGGTCGAGTAACCTGATGGATAAAACTGCTCGCCACCGGGGCAGGTGGTGATGTTGATGGCGGCGGGGGCGGTGGAGGTATGGATGGTGGTAGGGTGGGTTGAGTGTTTGCATTTGAAGACAATTGGATTCGATGCTGATGAACAACTAATTGTGCACCAGTCGATACCGTACTTGTGTGATCTGCTTGTGCCAGATAAGATCGCAACAGACTGGTGGATGTATTCGTGGTGGGTGGATGAAAATGGGGTGATAAAACTGCATCCGCTTCCGTATACTCGTAGCTCACATCATCCAGTGCACCGTCGGAACCTTCCTGATCATCTGTCAGACTGGGATTGAAAAGGAGTAGCCACGGCGGAGTGGTTGGTTGTGCGACTGCTGCACTACTTGGTGGTCGGAACTCGCGGAGATAGTCTACTACTGTGTCAGATTTGGCTAACGCAGTTAGATACGGGATTAAGTCCAGTAAAGCTTGATCAGTGGGGTCATCGAACCATGAGGTAATCTGAAGCTGTAATGTGAATTGATAAAACAATGCATGAAGACGGAATGCAAGAGACAAATTAAAGTGGACCAGCCACATGAGACTAAGTGAATGTTCATATGGCTCTTTATTAATCACTGATAGTGACAAACAACTTTGCTTAAACGGTCACTAAATTGCACCGCATTGGGATAGTGTTTCCATGGGACTAAACAAAACCAGCTTATTAAAACAAAAAGCGTGACTGAAAGTGAAATAGTGAATTGATGCATTCAAAAACAACTGAGACAAATTAGAGGTGTGGTAGTCTAGATGTTCGATTCAACGAAATTTATCGTACCAATTGTCACGGGTATAAGTTGATCCAATCTTCGTAAATCGCTCAAGCAAACATAAATGGGACTGATTTTTGCAATAAAAAAAACTACAAAGGACTGGACAAGCAAGCCGACCAGCAAACATAATCCAGTTAGATCAAGAGAGAAAAAACGAGCTACAGATGTACCACACATTCCACTTGTTTTTTTATGGTGACATCTTGGTTAACTCCAAAAGCAGTACTGCCATATGCAAGTAATGAAATCGAAAACTTATGACAAGGGTGCGCAGATCACAGAAGTGTTTACGCAATTGAAAAGAACGACGATCCACACAAGCCGACCTGGTAATCAATACTTCATTGATGTAACGGCTTATCATCCACGAAGTCAAACAATCTATCAAAGACATACGTACGCGAAACGAACCAACCGATGGGGACAGATGTGTGAATTTGCTAAACCTACTTACAGGCAAACACGAAGGCACAAATCCATGTCACAATTGTGTTGAGCTACAGGCAGCAGACGCACACACACACACACACACACACACACACACACACACACTAATCGGCTATTCCATTAGACGTATCCATTTGTTGACGCTGGGGCGTGGGTGTATCTGTGATCCCAAATATGCCTGTTACACTGAACGCTATATATGTATTTGCAGCATAGGCTTTCAAGTGGTGAAAGAGTTTCAGACCCCAAAGGTGAGTGAAAGTGGTTGACTATCGAAACGCAACTTCAAACTATTTATCCTCAGAAAACCTAAGTACGATGGGGGGTTGGGTGTCTGGAGTTGCTAACACACCCTTCTCGTGCACCCAGCAAAGTGCTCCCATGCGACTAAGCGTCTCAAATAGCTTCGGCTGAGGAAGTCCTACTCACTGCCTTTCTGTGGCAGAAAGTGAAAATACAACCTAACCAGATCGGTAAATATTCGGTTTATCTAGAGGAATGGACAAAAACCCCGATTCCAAATCAATCCAAATAAGGTGTACGAACCACACATACATACCTTGCTGGTTGTGGCAGAAGCCGCCGGTTTGATTGAGCAACTTGCACGTTCGATGGATCATATGATCCGACGAACTTTACGCCGGTCACCAATGGATTATGATTTTCACACTCTCATGCCACTTTATGGGCTTAACCAAAGGCTCCGTTTGTGAATGCCCACGAAAATTTGCCTGAGCAACCTGACAATATTCCACCCATTAGTGGCGAATCAAGGAACTCTGTCCTTTGATAGGCAGATTAATGTATCGTGATTTTTAGAACCTCTGTTTTGACCATCGAGGCTCACTTTCTTTTCCACTCTCAATTAGGCCCAATCCCTCTTCATTTTGTGCACTATCAGTTGATTTGTGCACACTGTGAGCCTGGCAGCGATCAGTGAAGTTTGATCAACTGTATTTCGCTGTACGATGATGATGAAGGAGAAAGTCAGCTGGTCTAAATCAAGCACTGAAGTAACTTCCCTATTTGACTACATCTTCTGACCAGAGGGAGAAACACAGCCACGGAAGTAAAACAATTTAGAGATTACTCATTAGGTGGTCCCATTCGACTCAATTAATGCTGCGTAGACTGTCAAACGAGAACGATCATTTCTTTGTGAAAGAGAAACGTTGCGGATATATGACGAAGTTTCATCTGTGGGCAGAATTGGGATGTGACTGACAGCCTCTGTTGTCCAAATGCGAAACAACCGGACCTAAGGAAACCTCTTGAGCTTCATGTTCTCACTTCGAATACTGCTACTCCAATACAAACTGATGGAGAGAACTAGACAGAACACGCCGATGTGGCCCAGTGGGGTGGTGAGATTGACGGACATACAAGTTCAGATTCCAACCGCGATCAGTTCGGTGGACGTGTATTGCTTGCATAGTACCGAACGAGGATGGAGCGACTAACCATGCTGCGCTCTAAAGGCTTCTAGTAGTATCTATCACACGTTACTATCGTACGATTACTTTTATAATCACAAGAGAGCTACTAATCAAGTTTGATTTCATACCTGTCTTAACAACACACACATACACACACCAGACACAACTCAGTCCGGAATATGAACTGACTGTCAACAGCCCGGTACAGCAAGTAGCAGAGCAGATAGCTTGCGTACGGAGATCCACTCGTATGCCATGTTCCACAAACTTCGACGAGCTTTTGCCG